CGGCCAGGAGACGCGGTCATTGCTCAAGCAGGTGCCTCAAAGCGCCACTGAGGACTGAGGCTCGGCTGGGTCAAGCTCTTTTTTTTTTTTGGTCGGTCGTGGGGCTTGAACTCTGGGCCTGGGCGCTGTCCCTCAGCTCTTCAGCTCAAGGTGAGCGCTCTACCACTTGAGCTGCAGCGCCACTTCCGGAAAAAAAGCTTAGAAACAGTGCCCAGGCCCTGAGTTCAAGCCCCAGGACTGGCAAAAAAAAATGGCTGAGATCCCAAAAATTGCAGCTTAAGACCAGCCTGAGCAGAAAAGTCTGCAAGATTCCACCTCCAACATAAGGAGCAAATAACTGGTCTAGAAGCATGACTAGGTGGCAGAGCACCAACCAAGCAATTTCAAGGCCCTGAGTTCAAACCCTGGTACTTCCAAAAACTAAAGAACTGGAAAATCCTCCTTGAGCAGCCTCCTGTCGGGTGGGCATATACCCCTTAGTAGCTGAATCACGGGACATGTGGGGGAGGAGGGGCGTCTAAGAAGACCTCACAGCATTTGGGGGGCATGGGTAGGGCTCACCAGTCAGTCTGGAAATACTTCAGAAATTGGGTAACTGCAAGAACCACACAAATCTACCCTGCTCCTATATCCTGCTTGGGAAATGGGCTGGATGTACCTGTTAGTCTTAGTGCTAAGTCCTCATGTGTCCCTATGTGTCTACCTATGTCCCCAAGGAGCCTGCCTTTGGGATGCTGACTGTGCCCTTGAAGACATCCCTCACACGACTGCCAGCTGAGCATCATGCAGAGGCTGTGAGCATCTTCAAGCTGGTATGGCATTGATCAAGCCCATCCTTGTAGTTTAACGCTGCCCCTGAGCCAGGCTATGAGGTCCCCAGTGCCAGATCCTGAGTCTCTATAAGCCTGGCTCATGAGCACCAAGCCTATTCGGGGAAGGAGAGACTTTTATATTAGTGAGGGAATCTGTCCTGCTGACCTAGCCTCACTTCCTTTTTCCCTTCCTGGAAAAAAAAAAAGATTGTAATCTCTTGAGGAACTCCCAAGTAGTCCCTGAGCCTGTCCCAGGAGCACCAGGAGCAGAGGAAAACTCAGGGCTGGGGTGAGGGTGATCAGAGAGAGGACTTCCTGGAGGAGGGACACTGGAGCCAGAAGAGAGTTTGCCAAGCAGGGAGAGTAGAGCAAACAAAGAGGGCATCCCTGGTCAGGACAGAGGCAAGAGGGCAAGGTGCTGGTCACAGACCCCCAGCTCTCACTTTACCCTGAGAGACAAGAGGGCCTGGGAGGGAGAGGGTAGGAACTGAAGGTTAGGAAGGGGCCTAGAAGGGGCTGCATAGGACCAAAGAAAGTTTATGAGCAGGAAAGGAAGCAGCATATACTTCGGATCTTAACTTCCCTGCCTGGTCATTTGGCAGTTATGTTGATATAAAGGGACTTCATTATCAATTTTTCTTGTGTGTGTTCCAGTCCTATGGCTAGAGCTCTACCACTGGAGCCACAGTTCCACTTTCAGTGTTTTGGTTAAGGAGAGCTAAAAGCCTTCTCATGGACTTTCCTGCTATGTCTGGCTTCAAGCTGTGATCCTCATATCTTAGCCTACTGAGTAGCTAGGATTACAGGTGTAAGCTACTGGTGCCCAGTAACAGAGGAACTTTTATATAGGCAGGGAGAGAGAGAGACTTTTGTGTAAGAAGGGAGACCCACAGAAGGAATGGGAGAGGGATGCATGTTAAAGTCTGTTTGTGGCCCAGATCTTGCGTTTCATGGGTGACCCCCACCTGCATGGCGACCGGGAGACTGTCCTTGGGAACTACATCGTGCAGAAGGGATTGGTGTCACCTGAGCTGCGAGATGAGATCCTGGCCCAGCTGGCCAACCAAGTGTGGCGCAACCACAATGCCCACAATGCTGAGCGGGGCTGGCTGCTGCTGGCCGCCTGCCTCAGTGGCTTCACACCTTCCTCACGCCTGGACAAGTTCCTCCTCAAGTGAGTGGGACTAGGAAGGGGCAGACACAAGGGGAAGGTCAGGCCCGGAGGGCATTTCCAGGTGGAAGGCAGTTTAGGCCTTAGAAGTGGCCAAGGGCTGAGTAGTCTCCCCAGTGAGCCTCGAATGGGAAGAAAAGCAGGGAGAGGAAGAATCAGAACAGACTGGATGAAGGATGTGGGGAAGCCGGAAATGTGCATTGAGCTCTTTAGTCTTGGAGTATAGCAGAACACTAGGAGCATGGATAGTAAACATGGACAATCAGGGTTCAAATCACAGTACAGCTGTGTGACCTCAAGCAAATTACTTCGCCTCTCTGGACATCATCCATAAAATGAGGAGGATGATCGTAACTGTGTCATAGGCTATTATGAGGATGTAAAAGGTGAATAAAGCCATCATGCCCGGTCAATGCCAAGTAGGCATTACCACGTGATGATAACACTATGGCCCTGCTGTTGGCTCAGAAGTATCACAGGCCACCACAGACAGGCTCATTGGTCCTGGATGTGGTTGAACCTCACAGCCATCTCTCATGTGAATGAAAACTAGAAAGCAAGACTAGTGTGGGCAGATCACCCAGGACTGACTGAAGAAAGGAGGAGGGCAGAGTTCCCCAGGCCAGGTTCTTTCCTACCTCTGGCTTCAGACTCTACTCTGACAATGAAATTGTGCTGCAATAATTGGGGCCTTCTTGGGCTATATTTGAATGTCTGTGGTGGCCTGTGATCCTTCTGAGCTAGCCTGGGATCTTTTCAGTTTGGCTATGGACTCTGGGATAGTTTGAGATCCTTTTAATTTCCTTCCTTCCCTTCTTTTTCTTTGTTTCCTTCCTTCTTTCTTTTCTTTTCTTTGGCAATACTAGGGTTTGAACTTAGGACCTTGCACTTGCTAGGCAAGTGATCTCTCACTTGATCCATACTCCCAGCCCTTTTTTCTTTAGTTATTTTTCAAATGGTGTCTCATTTTTGCCCGGACCAGATTGATGCACAATCTTCCTAGTTATGCTTCCAGAGCAGATGGAATGACAGGAATGTACCACTATACCAAACTCTGATTGGTTGATACAGGGTCTCATAAACTTTTGCCCAGGCTAGCCTCTGATCTCTGTCTCCCAAGTAGCTGAGATTACAGACATGAACTACTGTGCCCAGCCTGAGATCCTTTTATGGGCTAGCCTTAGAACTCTATTTCTAGGCTTTGGGCCCCTTTAATGAATTAACCTAAGGCCTAGAGCTGTAGCCTAGCTTAGGCTAGCTTGGGCCTCCCTCAGACTCCAACTCCCACCCATCAGGTTTGTGTCTGATTACGGACGGAATGGCTTTCAGGCTGTGTGTCAGCACCGCCTCATGCATGCCATGGGCTGGGCCCAGCAGCAGGGCTCAGGGGCTGCCCGCACCTTCCCCCCAACCCAGCTTGAGTGGATCACTATCCATGAAAAGGCCAGCATGGCACTGGACGTGAGCTGCTTCAATGGTATGCTGCCTCATCCTGCTCTCCTGCCAGCCTCCCTTCCCCCTTCATAAAGGGGCAGCGTGGGTCCATGGGAGCCAGGGGAGGTGGTGGGGCAGGGGAGGGGCCTGCAGGGAGGTCAGTGTGTTGAGCTGGAAAGCCCGGCAGTGAGGGTGCATATACAGGCTCCAGAACAAGTTTAAGAATCCAAAGGGAGATGGAGGAGCAAGGAGCAGGCCCAGAAGCCAGCAAGACAGGCCTGCAGTTGCTCTATACTGAGCTCAACACCTGCTACATCCCAGGTGACCACATTTCCTGCCCAGTGCACTCCTGGAGTACAGGGGAAGAGGTGGCTGGAGACATTCTGAGACACAGGTGGGCTTCTAGAACACCCTACCCAGCTCCCCCTTATAGCCTGGGAAGAAGGGAGGAAGGAACAGGGGGCCACATCCTCAAGGGGGTGGTCTTAGAGAATTACTCTGATCCCAGGGACTCCCAGACCATGCCCAGTGGCTTCATCTCTCATTCCTATTCCTCCATACGCTGTCACCAGGGGGCTGGCTGATGGCTGGCGGGGCTGGACAGTAGCCATGAAGAATGGACTGCAGTGGACAGAGCTGGCTGGCCATGACTATGTGCTCGACCTAGTGTCGGACCTGGAGCTACTCAGGGACTTCCCGAGACAGAAGTCTTACTTCATTGTGGGCACAGAAGGGCCTGTGGCCAGCAGGGGAGACCCCAGAGTGTATGTAGCTAACCAACCTAACCCTCACAAACAGCTTCCTCCTCCCCCTCTCCCCCCACCCCATCCCCACCATGACGTACCTGTCCCAGCTGCTGCGACAGACTGACTTCTGAGGGTTTGCTTAGTTATATGTTTAATGCTGGTCCTGGAGCTTTGAATTCAGGACCTTGCACTCTTGTTTTTGTTTTTTGTTCGGTTGTGGGGCTTGAACTCTGGGCTCGGGCGCTGTCCCTGCGCTCTTCAGCTCAAGGCGAGCACTCTACCGCTTGAGCCACAGTACCACTTCTTCTGGTTTTCGAGTGGTTTTATTGGAGATAAGAGTCTCATGGACTTTCCTGCCCGGACTGGCTTTGAACTGCGATCCTCAGATCTCAGCCTCCTGAGTAGCTAGGATTACAGGTGTGAGCCACCGACGCCTGGCCCTTATACTCTTGTTTAGCTTTTATTGCTCAGAGCTGGGGCTCAACTTCTGACTTTTTTGCTGATTAATTGGTGATAGGCATCTCATGGCCTTTTCTGTCCCAGCTGGCTTCATATTGTGATCCTCAGGTCTCAGCCTCCTGAGTAGCTGGGATTGCAGGCATGAGCCACCAGCACCTGACTTTTGTTTTGTTGAATGGAGGTCTTGCCATGTTGTCTAGGCAGGCCCCAAACTCCCGGGCTCAAGTGATCCTGTCCCCTTACACTCCAGAGTAAGTGGCATGAGCCACTGTGTCTGGTGATCCTATCTCTTAAGTGGAGAAAGTCACAATTCCAGGGGAAGAGGGTTCTGAGCGGGATCCCTGGAGGTCGGCTGCTGTATGCTCCCCTCTCCCCACAGGGTGTTTGGGAGCTGGGACTCTGATGAAGACACACCTGTTAGGCCCCAGCCCCAGAGTCATGCGCACCGAGCACCTGACTCCGATGGGTACTGCAGCCACAATGAAGCCAGTGCCGACGGAGAGACTGAGGCCCCGAGAGGGGCAGCAACCCACCAAGGTCAGCCAGCCGTGGCTGCTGTCTCTGGTAGGAAGGGAACTTGGGGGAGTGTTGGGGTAGGAACCAGCAGGAGAAACGGACTTGACTTTATGTGCTTCCCCCTCCTCCACTAGACATGGACAGCCTTGGAGAGCCCATTGTGCCCCCCAGGGGGCTGGACTGCTACCTGGACAGCCTCTTCGACCCCGTGCTGTCCTGCGGGGATACGGTAAGGATGGGGTTGGGACTTTTGCCTGACTTGGTGTGCACACACCAAGGCCCAGAATGGCACAGGAACTTCTCACAGCCAGGACTGTGGGCCGTGTGTCCCATCTGGGTCTCGGCTGGGAACAGGAAAAGCCTGAGCTCTTCTAGGGCAGCTGGACATATTCCCAGATGCCCTGTAAGAACCCAGGGCTAGAAGTCAGACTTTCATCATGTCCTCTAATGGAAGCCAGCCCTCACTTTGTGGGGGGGATCCTAGATCTTAAGAGCACCCCCATGAGGCCCTGGGCATAAATACAGCCCTCTTTGAGGCTCTGTGGCAGGGTTTGGGGCTAGAAGCTGGGGGTGAGGGGGAATAGGCCGGACTGAGTAAAAGCAGGGCATAGAGTAGACGCTTGGTTGGGGGTGGAGGAAGGTGTCAGGTACCTGTTACCATGGTCCCTCAGGAGAACAGCAGTGAGACTGTCATTGCTCTTCCAGGAACTGGAGAAGCCAACAGCCATCGCTTACCGCATGAAAGGTGGAGGCCAGCCTAGCGGAGGCAGCAGCAGCAGTACTGAGGACACCCTCAAGAGACCCCCAGAGCCAAAGCCAAAGCCAAGTCAGTGCCTCCTCAGTGTGGCTCTGGGGTCGGGGAGAGGTGTGAGAAGAAGGCGGGCAGGAGGGAATTTTGACTTCCTGCCTATCCAGTGCCTATCTATGCCCCTCTGACTTGTACCCTCAGTCCCAGGTCTGGATGCCTCTACGCTGGCTCTGCAGCAAGCCTACATCCACAAACAAGCCGTGCTACTGGTGAGCGATGGGGGAGGGGAACACCAGCAGGAGGGAGGGAGGGCGGTGATAGACCTCCCTGGTCACCCACCCCCTCTCCTCAGGCCCGAGAGATGACGCTGCAGGCCATGGCGCTCCAGCAGCAGCCCCTGAGTCCTGCCCCAAGACCCTTGCCCCCAGAGGTGAGCTGGGCCCACCCAAGGTGAGGGGTTGTCTAGAGATGGCAGCCATGATGGACTGCTGTGCTGCTCCAGGGCATCATTGTACCTCTCTGAGCCCAGGAGCCCCACAGTCCACCTTGAGAAGATTCAGGGTCCTTGAGAGCAGGCTAGCTTATTCATAGTGACCTACCTCATGTCCTGCTTTTTGCAGAAGCCCTTAGCTCCAGAGGCCCGGCCGAAGTTTGTAGGTACCGGCCCCCCAGCCAAGCCTGTCCTCCTGCGCCCCTCTCCACAGCCCTTGGCCTCAGTCCCTCCAGCCAAGGCCCCAAGGTCCCCCACCAAACCTGTGGCTGTCCCCATTCTAGCTCAAGACCAGGCCTCTCCAGAAAACAGTGAGTGACCACCCCAGTATGGAGGATCGGGGCGGGGTGGGGGCTTCCCAGGCAGGATTGAGGGTATGTGACTCTGGCTTTGTGGCTTTACTCTGCACCCAACCTTCATCCCTTACCCCTTGGCCCACAGGTTCCTCAGAGCTGGTCCGATACTCTACGCTCAACTCTGAGCATTTCCCGCAACCCACACAGCAGATCAGGAATATCGTCAGGCAGTACCAGCAGCCCCCCCGGGGAGGCCGTCCCGAGGCCCTCAGGTGGACACCTGCCTGCCCCCCACGCCTCCCACGGGCTAGTCCCTGCTATTTCTTTCAGAGCCCTAGCCAGCTCCTCCCACCAGGGGCCATGTATGCCAATGAGTCCAGATGAGCCCTAGTGGAAAAGAGAGGCCAAGGCTGGCTGGTCTTAGTTGTGCGATGTGACCAGTCTCTGCTTTTCTCTGGGTTTTACTTTAGAATTTGGTGGGGGAAACAGAATTTAGCAGACATCCTCCCCCCGCACTTCCGCCCCGTCCTTATGGTGGGGACAGAGAGATGGTTCAATGTCCAATCCATCATGTTTTGCCTGCTAGGAAGGATGGTGGGAAGATGTTCATGAAGCGACCAGACCCCCATGAGGAGGCACTGATGATCCTAAAGGGGCAGATGACTCACTTGGCTGCAGCACCTGGCACTCAGGTGAGGGTAGGTAGGGATGGGACCAAAGGACAAAGATGTGGCTTTGGAAACAGTCCCCCCCACCCCCACACTACCCCTACGCCCGATCAGCTGTGGCCCTGCTGCCGGCTGCTTCACAGGGCTCGCCTGAATACTCTGTTTGGGGTTGGACAGGTATCCAGAGAGGCGGTGGCCCTAGTGAAGCCAGTAACCAGCGTCCCAAGGCCATCCATGGGGCCCACTCCAGGTGAGGGCTGGGAGGGAGGGGTGAGCAGACAGGAGTCCCGGAATATGAGCAAATCTGTGAGCACAGGGGAGACTGTGTGTGTGGATGACATTCGTTCGATGTCCCTAAGCCCATGAATATATGTTGTGTGGATGCTAATGTCATAGTACTAACACTTAAATCATCTACTTAGGCCAGGCCCACCCTGCTGTCCTTTATTACGACTAAAACCCAGCAGCCTGCTGCTGTCCCTTTGCCCAGACAGACCCTTCTGTCCACACAATCTTCATGATTGGTCCCTTCTTGTCATCCAGGTATTGGTTCAAATGCCACCTCTTCAGGGAGGCTTGCTTAGACCACCTGGACGGAAGGCATATCAGCCCCATCTCCCCCCAGTCTTCTTTCCTGAATCATCCTGTCATACTTCTGTCCTAGCTCCTAGCACTAAGAGCTTTGGGTTTCCCAGCATAGGCTGTAAGCCATGAATAAAGGGCTGGGTTTATGAGTGAGCCCGTGAATGGTTAGACAATCCGCCCTCTGTTCCCTCCTAACTGGCCTTACCTCTTCCACTTGGTCCTGAAATGCCTTTCTTGTCCCGTGCTCTCACTAGTGCTGCCTTGTCGGTCACTGGAGCCCCCAGAGGAACCTGTGCAGACACAGCTGCACCGTCCCTTCAACCCCAACTTCTATGGCTATCAGGACGCCCCCTGGCGGATCTTCCTGCGTAAAGAGGTACCAGGCCAAGCCCATCTGATGCATGGGCTGAATGAGGACCGAGGGGGTCCAGGAGAGCCCCAGGACACGCCCAGGAAAATGAAATATGTAGGGTTGAAGTTAGGAATGGAGTCAGTGCCAAGGGCAGGGCTGGTATAGAATAGGGATGCATCTAGGAGATGGGGCTAGGTACAAAGTGACACCTATTGAATCCCGATCCCTGCAGGTGTTTTACCCTAAGGACAGCTACAGCCACCCTGTGCAGCTTGACCTCCTGTTCCGGCAGGTGAGTCCCCTCTTCCTCTTTGGCTTTACTGTTCTCATCAGGACAACGGCCATCTACTCTAGTTGCACATTCTCTTCTGCAGTCTGGTTTAGGGTCCTCGAGGTTGCAGAGCTCTCTTACTAAGTCTCCACTCCCATGATCAAGGTCAATGAATGCACAACTCAGTCTTACTTAGAATCCCAATTTGTCTAAGCTGAGGAAGGGCCCAGAAGTCAAGTCTAAGCTCTCCATTGGATAGATAAGGAAATTGATACTTAGGAAGGTTAGGAAGGAGTATAAAGGTGAAGAGAGATGAGAAGGTTCTGGCAAGTGAGCTCTTTTTCTAGAGGTGACCTGGCTTACAGTTGACCGCACTACTGCAAAATGGACCCTGCCCCCACCACTCCCTCTGACAGTCCAACCTGGGTTTCTCACTGAGCCACCTAGCTCCACCCTCCCAACGTGCATTATGGTCTGTTCCTGCAGATACTACACGACACACTGTCTGAGGCCTGCCTCCGTATTTCTGAAGATGAGAGGCTCAGGATGAAGGCATTCTTTGGTATCTCAGGGATGAGGGGTGAGGGGAAGGATGCTGATTGGGCAATTAGCCAGAGCTCTGGATGGCCCTTTTCTAGAGGGAGACTGAGTGGACACAGCCATTTACATTTACCTCCACACATGCCCTTCCTTACTTCACTTCTGGCCTCTTCCATGCCTGGGTGCATGTTTGAGGTCAGCAATACCTGCTATGTAGATATACTCTGACCATCTTGTCCATCTCTGACTCTCAGCTTCCTGGGACAGATGTTCAGATGTTTTCTTGCTAGTAGCAGCCTGTCTCCCAGATCTCCCTGAGATGTGGGTTGGCAGAGGATCCTGACGAGACCTGGCCTCTATCTTAGCCCAGAATCAGATGGACACACAGCGGCCTCTGGTAACAGAGAGTGTGAAGCGGGCTGTTGTCAGCATTGCCCGAGACAGTTGGGAAGTGTACTTCTCCCGACTCTTCCCTGCTACGGTGCGAGCCCCCTGTCTGTGCCTCCCTGCCTGCCACAACACTCAGAGCTGAGGCTAAAAGGCCTCTCACCTGCCCTTCATCCTCACCCCAGGGTAGTGTGGGCACTGGTGTGCAGATCCTGGCTGTGTCCCACACGGGCATCAAACTCCTGCGAATGATCAAGGGCAGCCGGGAAGCCAGCGGGGAGCTGCGAGTTCTACGTGCGTACAGGTGACCAGCAGTTGGGTGTGAGTAGAGCTAGGGCACAGACTGGGGCTAGTGTTTTCTCATTCTGTCCAGAGCTGCTTACCAAATACCTATGATGTGTCCAGCTCTGTGCCAAGTCTTTTTAGAGATGGGAAACGGAGGCTTAGAGAAGTTGCCTGTCTCTAGTCACATAGACAGGAAGTGATTGAGCTAGGAGCCCATTAACCTTCCTTGTCTCTCACAATTACATACTAGCCCTACTTTCAGAGCTTTGTGCAGGGAGGTGGAGGACAGGGGGGAATGCTGAGTCCCAAGGCAGCTGGAAGAGGAGCCAGAGCTCTATCTAGAGTCTTTACTGAGTCCCCAGACTCTGTCCCTTTTGTCTCTTCCAACATGGTCAGGAAGAGCCTTCATCACCAGTTGAATGAAAGCTCCTTGCTTTGGAAGTTGGAGAGAATTTTCTCAATGAATCACAGATTTGTATGGGCAAAATCTGAGAGGTTGGAGCATTGATTCAAAGAGTGGTAGGAGATGAGCAGAATCCACACACCAAAGGCCAGAGATGGAGGCAGGCAGTCCCAGGGTAGGGCTGGACTTTGGGGGATGGGACAGAGTAGGATCAGAAGGAACACAATAAGTAGGGGAGGACATCCCTCTAGTGGGGGGTAATGCCCTCATACCACTTCCCACCCTTCAGCTTTGCAGATATCCTGTTTGTGACCATGCCCTCGCAGAACATGCTAGAGTTCAACCTGGCCAGTGAGAAGGTCATCCTCTTCTCAGCTCGAGCTCACCAGGTCAAGACGCTGGTGGATGACTTCATTCTGGAGCTGAAGAAGGTAAGGACTGCCCTTCCCATCCTCCACCCCCCCCCTGCCTGCAGCCATGGAGACACACACACACACACACACACACACACACACACACAGATATCCCAGCACAGTGCACTCCATACTCTGTGTGTGTGTGTGTGTGTGTGTGTGTCTTTCTGTCTACGTGTCCCAGGATCTGCTGAGTTGGTAGACATCAGCATGCTTTTTCAGGTTGAATCTTTTAGCCAGCAGGCCTCTCCCGCTTCTGCCTGTTCCTTCAGCACTTACCCATATCTGGCCTCAGCAGTATGGCCTAGCACCTCCTCTAAGCTCCTGGAAATGGTCCCACCACCACAGTACTGTTGCAACTCTGTCTCTGTCCATCCCCAGCCCTGACTAGGCAGCCCCTGGCCTAAGCATCTGTCTGGGAGACCTCAGAGTGGGAATGTAACTGCAGTTTTTAAACCCCAGGCCCAAACTCCAGCCATTCACCCTTAAAGAGAAGGTGGTAAAAGGTAGAAAAAGATTTATTATATGGCAGCCATGGGAAGATAGTACTTCATTTTATCTTTAGCCAGCTTTAGGTTTTATAGACAAAGAACTAAGAGGAAGTGGGGAGGGTATATAGAATTATTAAACAGCCCTGGTCAAAGAATTGTCTGGTTGATCATTACTTCAGTCCTTATTTTGGGAGGGGTCCAGAGAGGTTGTTATTGCTGTCATCACTAGTCAGGATAAACATTATTGCTTGGGGATTGTCTGTCCTGAGGAAGCTCTGTTATTCTTTAGGGGTGGTTTATGTCCTCATAAAGATGTATTGATTAGTGACCAATCTCATCCTTCCCAGTGATTGCAAAGTGACTACAGAGAGAATGGCTTAGAGCAGAGCAATATACAAAATGGAGGCAGGGACACTAAGTTTTTCACCTCTTTTTAGCCACTTTATGAACCCAGTAAAAGCAGAATTTGGGTTTGGTGGGTAAGGCACAAATGTGCCCTGACATCCATTTCTGTAAAAGTGAGAGGCCTTGCAAGGCTTTTCCTGGAAAGCCTTTCCCTCTTCTGGCTAGAGATAGTCCCTTCCATGAGGCCTTGGGGAGGATGGGAGGACTGGGAGGAGCTCTGAGCCTCTAGGAGGAGAACTAAGGCACTGCAGTCCCTCACCTTTTCCTGGTGGTCTCAGGATTCTGACTATGTGGTTGCTGTGAGGAACTTCCTGCCTGAGGACTCAGCATTGTTGGCCTTCCACAAGGGTGACATTATCCATCTGCAACCCCTGGAGCCACCTTGTGTGGGTCAGTGCCACGGTAGGGTGGTAAACCAAAAAAGGAAGGCTGGTGGAGGGGCTTCCAAGCAAATGTTGATAGAGCCTGTCCCACAGGCTACAGTGCCGGCTGTGTGGTCCGAAAAAAGGTGGTGTACCTGGAAGAGCTCCGGCGCAGAGGCCCCGACTTTGGTGGGTACACTGGGGATGTCCCACAGGGCTCATCTACACACACTGTAGATGAACAGTGAGCCTGGAAGCCTAGGGCTGGTGGTAGAGTGATTGTCTAGCTGTGGGAGGCTCTAGGTTCAAACAACTCCACATACACACAAAAAGAAGCCAAAAACTTTGGACTGGCCAGGCGCCAGTGGCTCACGCCTGTAATCCTAGCTACTCAGGAGACTGAGATCTGAGGATCACAGTTCAAAGCCAGCCAGGGCAGGAAAGTCCGTGAGACTCTTATCTCCAACAAACCACTAGAAAACGGGAAGTGGCGCTGTGGCTCAAATGGTAGGCTGCTTGCCTTGAGCTGAAGAGTGTAGGGACAGTGCCCAGGCCCAGAGTTCAAGCCCCACAACCGACAAAAAAAAAAAAAAAAAAGACAACTTTGGACTGAAATCTATGGTTCAGTGGTAAGAGTGCTTGATTTGTGTGCCTGAGGCCCTGAGTTCCACTCTAGCACCACACAACACAAAAAAGGTTCAATCGCATGAGAGCTCAGAACTCTAGGGAGGGATCAAAGAGCTTCCTGAGTGCCTGTAAAGGGTCCCTTTTGTCCCAAAGGAACTTCTAGTTTGTGCCAGACCCTTACTTCTCCTTTAGGCTGGAGGTTTGGGACCATCCACGGGCGCGTGGGCCGCTTTCCTTCTGAGCTGGTGCAGCCTGCCGCCGCCCCTGATTTCCTGCAGCTGCCAGCTGAGCCGGGCAGGGGCCGGGCTGCCGCGGTGGCCGCTGCTGTGGCTTCTACAGTTGCAGCCCGAGAGGTGGGCCGCAGGAGAGAGGTGAGGCTGATGGGGCGGACCCAGTAAAGGGGGAGGCGTTGCTGCCAGGGGATGCGACCAAGGTCAGCCAAGAGTGTGGCCAGTCCTGGAACAGGACACGCTGGATGTGTGACCCGTGTGCGTGGTGCGTGTGGTGGCCAAATGCGGTTAGGGAAGGGTGACAGTCAGCTGGTTGCAACCAGAGAGCGATTGGGTCGGGAGACCAACCTCAGCCAGGCAGTAAGTGTGGTGGGTTGGAATGAGGCGGGGTCCTGTGGGTGGGGCGGAGTCGGGCTTGCAGAGTGAACCCGGGAAGGGGAGGGGGGAGTCTGGTCAAACTAAGGAGCGAGGGGCGGGGTCCACTGCGACGAGGCAGCCAACCCCACGCACAGACTGGTTTGAGGGCGTGGCCTATGGCAGGGAGGCGGAGTCAGGCATGATTGGAGGAGACCCACGGGACGGGTCGCGTCTGCAAGCGCGGATGGGCTGCTTGCCTGAGTCCTGATGGTCTGGAAGGGGTTACCTTGAATTAGCCCGGGCAGGAGAGCAAGATGGGGGTGTGGCCGAGGAGCTTTCCGACGGGGTCCTTTTCCCACAGGGTCCCCTAATCAGGGCACGCTCCGCAGACCGTGGGGAGGACCCCTTGGCTCCCCCACCATATACAATGCTCGAGTTTGCACAGAAGTATTTCCGAGACCCTCAGAGGCGACCTCAGTGAGTGATGGTCCCAATCCTGTTTCTTTGGGGCTTCTTGCAGCCCTCTTAAGTTGCTGGTTGATGGGCGAGAAGGCCCCACTTTTGGTGGGATGAGAGACCGTTTATTGTGAAGACGCCTCCAGGAGAGGTCCCAGAAAACACTAGGAGGCAGGACCGGTCAGCAGCACACACTTCCTTTTGCAGGGATGGCCTCAGGCTGAAATCCAAGGAAGACCGGGAGTCCAGAACCCTGGAGGACATGCTTTGCTTCACCAAGGTGTCCAGTCCTGAGCATCAGTTTCTCCATCTGTAAAACAGTGATGCAAGATCCCTGGGACAAATAACTCTGTCTTTTGTGACACCCTCTAGCTCTCAAGACCTGTGGGCCAGATTATCCCCAGGAGCATATTTATCTGGTGTTGAGTTTACTTTTCCTATTGTGGTGTGGGCCCTTCTGTCAAAGTGCAGCCTGGAAACTCTGGCAGGTGGCTCACACCTGTAATCCTAGCTACTCAGGCAACTGGGATCCCGAGGATAGTGTGATTCAAAGCCACCTTGGTCAGAGAAGTCTGTAAGATTCTATTTCCAAAATAAGAGCAAAAAGCAGAACTGGAAGCATCATTCAAGTGGTAGAGTGCCAGCTTAGCAAGCTAGAGGTTCTGAGTCCAAGCCCTAGTAGAGGAAAGGGGGAAGGAGGACAGCCAAGAAGCAAGATATGGCCCTCTTCTGTTATAACACGGCCCCTCCCTCCCCTCACAGACACCACTCCAGGAATCACTTATTGAATTCAGTGACAGCAGCCTCAACAAAATGGCCACTGACATGTTCCTAGGTATGTGTGTTGGGGGCACACTGTGGAGTGTAGCACTGTGGGAACCCTGCTTGTCCCCTCTCTTCTCTGGTGCTTAAATTCTTCCCCTCCTCAGACTCAGACATTGGACACTCAGATGACTGTGGCCGCAACCTCCCAGGGAGGGATTGGACCCTGGGGCTCCTGGGGTAGGCAGCTGGGGTGGGAGGAGTCCATCACCTAATAGGACGAGTCTTTCCTGCAGCTGTCATGAGGTTCATGGGAGATGCTCCGCTGAAGGGCCAGACTGAACTGGATGTGCTCTGTACCCTCCTGAAGGTCAGCACAGACGATTATGTCCCATGCTCTCTTTCTTGTTCTGTGGCTCAGTTTCCCCATTTGTCAGCCAAGGTAGCCAGACATGGGTTTGGGAAGCTTCTTTGATAACCCAAAGGGAAATGAGGAGTGGGCCACAGAGAGAAGGGATGCCTGCCGTAAGTTCAAGTAGTCCTGTTCTTTTGCACCCAGAATGTGGCATAGCTTCTGGTATGACTTTGGCAAATGACTGCCTACCTTCTTTCAGTTTTGTGAGGACCATGAAGTCATGCGAGATGAGTGTTACTGCCAAATTGTGAAGCAGATCACTGACAACAACAGTTCCAAGCAGTGAGTCATCTGGACCTTCCCCCACCCACCCACAGTGCCCCACCTTCAGCCTTCCTCACATCTTCTCTATTCACATATTCTTAGGATCCTTTGGTCTGGGACACACCATTTTCGCTCACTGGGCTTTAGTTCCCTTATCTGTAAAGTGGCAATGATAAGGCCTTAATTCAAATTCTTGGATACAATGACAGAAACCCAATTCAGGGCTGGTTAAAAGAGGGAAGTTGTTGATTCAAACAACTGAAAAGTCAGTGGCTTCAGACATACTGGATCCAGGTGTTCTTAGGAAGCATGCTTTTTCCATCTCCTGGTCCTGCTTTTCTCTGTGTTGACTTCATCCCAAAGCAGTCTCTCTCATAGCTTAGCAAAGTGTTAGCTCTGGTAAACATTTCTCCAGCTTAACAAACCCAAGGAAAGCAAGAATGACCCAATATTTGCTGCAGAGATCCCCATATCCAGCTTTATTGGTCCCTTTGGTCACGTGCTCATCCTTGACCCAAGAAAAATGGATGAAGGATACATCGTGCTGATTGGTTAACACCTGGTGTGAATTCTAGTTGGTCATCTTATGCTCATCCCCAAGCCAGGTGCCATGGCCCTCTGTGAAGTGGCCTCATGTATGTGTGCTCCTAGGGATAGCTGCCAGCGAGGCTGGAGGCTGCTATACATTGTGGCCGCTTACTACAGCTGCTCTGAAGTCTTCTACCCTCACCTCATCCGCTTCCTCCAACATGTGAGCTGGACCCCAGGCCTGCCTTTCCAGGGTGAGAAGACCATGAGTCGGGATTATTTGCCTAGGACCATATGCCTATTACATGGGGGCAGAGCAGGCACCCACAGGCACCTAGAAAACCTGGCCTTTCAAAGGGGCCTGACCCTGGGGCCCCTGGGGTAGGCAGCTGGGGTAGGAGGAGGCCATCACCTAACTAATGTTAACTACTCCCCAAACACTCATGGACACCCCAAGGAAATAGATGCCGTGGGTCATCTCGTGGTGGGTGAAGTTAGGGAAGGCCTCCTGGAGGAGATTTGTGATTGTGTGGGAGGGTTTTTCAGGTGGAGTGAGGGGTAGATGCAAAGGCCCAGAGGTGGGAGTGTGTAGCACAAAGGAGAAAGGGTGGAGGAGGTGGGGATGGTAGAAAGGGCTTCTCTGGCTGCTGAGACTCAGTCAGGATGTTCAGTGGACCCAAAGCCAGTGGCAAGGTTTTGCCTTTGCCCTTGGCAGTATGGAAGAAATGGGCTGATTCTTAGCCTTGTTTCCATAGCAACCCTGAGGACCCTAAGAAAAAAGCTAGAGCCCCTCTATCAGCCTATAGTAATGACAGCCACAAAAATATAAAGTAGATCATTTTCCTTGCCTCTGAATCATTCTTTGATTCAATTAACAAACATTCCCTGATCAACAGATAAATAAGCCCGGCTGCTCAAGGAAGGGCTCCCAGTTAGGGGAAGACAGCAAAATATACCCTAGAACTCTTGGCCTGAAGCAGGGTGAGAATCTGGTTAACCTAAAGACATGGAGCACTAATAGTAGGGCCTCTGCACTGGGAACACAGGGAATCCTGGATGGGAGGCACATTGCATTGTCATGCCAGGCCAATCCTGGTAAAGACCAGCTGGGCAATAAATAGCTCAGAATCATAGCTGTTTCTAGGCTCATAGGTAGACCAGGGCAAGATGAGGCCATAACCACCTAGGGTATGGATTCAAATTCAGAGCTTAAACTCCAGCTCCATCCTGACCACGGCAAATCACTGCCCCTCACTAGCTCAGTGTCTTCAGATGTCAAAAAGGGGAAGGGTGAATACCTTTTGCACAGTTTGTGGAAAGAATACAAGGAGTTAATGGCTCGAGAAAGAGGAGGCCTTTTATTCCCATTGCTGACCTTGGACAAGGCCTTGACTGCCTGCCCTCTACAGGGATCGCTAAAGCCTGTGAGCAGAACCTTCAGAAGACCTTGCGCTTCGGGGGTCGCCTGGAGCTCCCAAGCAGCATGGAGCTTCGGGCTATGTTGGTAAGTTTGGAGTGGGAGACACAGACCTGCCCATACCCTTCTCCCTCTGCCAGGGTGCCCTTCCTGCCTGGGGTGTGTGGATAGGTCCTGTGAGGTCCAGGTGCAGAAAGATCACTGTATGGGCATACCTGGGACCCCTTGGCTTGGGGTCTCCCATGAGAGGGGTCACAGCTTCCTGGATCCCAGGGCCCAGTCTCTCATCTCTGTCTTGCTCCCTACCCCTAGGCAGGCCGCAGTTCCAAGAGGCAGCTCTTTCTTCTTCCTGGAGGTCTAGAACGCCATCTGAAAATCAAAACGTGCACTGTAAGTGAGGGGGTGTCACTGGCAGGCAGGCACTAGAAGATCAGGATCACCCCAGTCTTCAGGGGATGGTTGGGGTGGTTGGAGTGGCTGGGTGAAGCCCAAGGATTCCTGAGGCCCTCATGGGGTCTCCCACAGCTCCACAAGGAGGAACTTACCGTTGAGCCTCCAGCTCTGCCAGTTTTTACAACTTCTGATGGAAAATATTTGGAGGGCTTGCATACATGCTTTGCATACATGAGGCCCTGGGTACGATTCCTCAGTACCACAAAAGCAGAAAAAGCCGGAAGTGGCACTGTGGCTCAAGTGATAGAGCACTAGCCTTGAGCTGAAAGCTGAGGGACAGCGCCTAGGCCCAGAGTTCAGGCCCTACCACTGACAAAAAAAAAAAATTAGGGGCTGGGAAGGTGGCTCAGTGGTAGAGTGCTTGCCTTGCATGCATGAGGCCCTGGGTTTGATTCCTCAGTACCATATAAGCACAAAGCTGGAAGTGGCACTGTGGCTCAAGTGGTAGAGCGCTAGCCTTGAGCTGAAGAGCTGAGGGACAGTGCCCAGGCCCAGAGTTCAGGCCCCACGACCGGACCCAAAAAAAAAAATTACATCCAAACTGAACACATAAGATTTTTATGTTTGTGTGCATGCCAGTACTGGAGCTGGACTTCAGGGCCTGAGTGCTGTCCCTTACCTTTATTGCTCAAGACTGGCTGGAACTCTATCACTTGAGTTACAGCTCTACTTCCAGCATTTTGGGTGACTAATTGGCAATAAGTCTCATAGACTTATAAAAGTCTTGGGCTGACTTGGGCTGGTTCCAAACTGTGATCCTCAGATCTCAGCATCCTGAGTAGCTAATTACAGATGTGAGCCACCAGTGCCTGGCCTGATGTTTTCTTGTCACTATTCCCTAAACAATACAGGATAATAATGATTTGTGTTTTGTATGAGTGTGTAAGAGTGTGTGTGTGGGGGCTGGGAAGATGGCTCAGTGGTAGAGTGCTTGCCTTGCATGCCTGAGGCCCTGGGTTCGATTCCTCAGCACCACATAAGCAAAAAAGAAAAAAGCCGGAGGTGGCGCTGTGGCTCAAGTGGTAGAGCGCTAGCCTTGAGCTGAAGAGCTGAGGGACAGCGCCCAGGCCCAGAGTTCAGGCCCCACTACCGGACCCAAAAAAAAAAAAAAAAAAGAGTGTGTGTGTGTGTGTGTATGTGTGTGTGTGTGTGTGTGTATACACCCAGGCCTAAACTCTTACTTGATTTGTTGGCTCATGACTGGAATTTTACTACTTGAGCTATATCTCCAGCCCTGGATGACAACTATTTATATAGCATTTACGTTGTGTTAAGTATTATAAGCCACTGAAGAGATGATTTGAAGTCTATGGAAGAGCCCGGTGCTGGTGGTTCACACCTGTGATTGTAGTTACTTTGTAGCCTGAAATCTGAAGGATTGTAGTTTGAAGTTCAGGGAAGAAGAGTCTATGAGCCAGACACTGAGGATCACAATTCAAAGCCAGCCCAGGCAAGAAAGTCCATGAGACTTATCTCCAATAAACCACTCAGAATACTGGAAGTCAGCGCTGTGGCACAAAAGGTAGAGTGCTAGTCTTGAGCTGAAGAGCTCAGGGACAGTACCCAGGCCCAGAGTTCAAGCCCCAAGACCAACAACAAAAAAAAAGAAAGAAAAGAAAAAGAACCAAGAAAAGCCTATGAGACTTTATCTTCAAAATAACTAGTAAAATGCGTGGTTGGAGGCACGGCTCAAGTAGTAGAGTGCCAGGCTCTCAGGCACAGGACCTCATGTTAAAATCCCAATACTGCCTCCAAAATAAAGGCTACTGAAGGATGTGTGTAGATTCTATTCAAATACCATACCATTTATATAAGGAACTTTAGCACACTGGGATTCTGGTGTCTGCAGAGTGTCCTGAAACCAGTCCCCCACGGATATAAAGAGGTGACTATTTCTCAGAAGAACAAACCGAGCCTCTGAGAGGTTAAGACTCAGCTCAGAGTTATACTGTGAACAAGGGGCAAAGACAGAATCAAAGGAAACAGAAACAGCATACTCTACACACATGAAGCTGATCCTCCAAGACCTTGGAGGTTGTGTGCTTCTGTGGCTCAGGCCTGACAACTACACTCACTTCCTGGTTGGGCGAAGAGGCCAGAGGACAGGTCTGGCTGGCACAATCTTACCATTCCTGCCCTGCCCAGGTGGCCCTGGATGTGGTGGAGGAGATCTGTTCTGAGATGGCGTTGACACGTCCTGAAGCCTTTGATGAATATGTAATCTTCCTTGTCACCAATCAAGGTAAGCACTCCACAGGGCTAAACATGATGGTTCCTTCTCACTACAGGCTTTTGGCCATGTGGGGTCCTAGACCCAGTCTTGAAGGCCACTCTTTTCAGGGAGCCCTAGATCCCCATTTGGAAGAACTTTTATGTGTACTGAGCCCCTCAGCCTTTCCCTTACCCTGTTCTTTGTTTTAAATTAGTCTATTTCCCCTTCTAGACTAGGAGTTCCTGGAAGACAAGACCCTCTTTGATTCCTGTCTTTGTCCCTCAGGGCCTTTCCAGCCCTTCTTGTCCTTAAGATCCTTGTATCCTAGGAAGCTTCATCCATAAGCCTAGCCTCCAGGAGCCTACAATGCCAGCATTTGCTCTAGACACTTTTGGTGCTACAAGGGCTGCCAAAGTTCTCACCAGGCTCTCTTCCCTGGGACTCCTGCAACCCAAGCAGACATCTTCCATCTGTGGCATGTATCCTCTAGGTCATGGCCTTGCCTCCCTCCAGCAACTCTTCAGCTCCTACCACCTCCAGCCAGCCCTCTTCCTTATGTCTTGGATCTTAGGGAGATGCCCTCAGCACTATCTGCCAAGTTCAGCAGAGACACAGGGATGGGGGAAGGCATCTAACTGATTGCAGTTACTATGTGCCAGGCACAGTTTAAAACATGTAATACTATAAGCTGGGTGCTAGTGGCTCATGCCTGTAATCCTAGTTACTCAAGAGGCTAAGATCTGAGGATTGCAATTTGAAGCCAGCCAGGGCAGAAAAGTCCCTATGAGACTCTTATCTCAGCCTGGCAACAGTGTCTCGCCTGTAATCCTAGCTACTCAGCAGGCTGAGATCTGAGGATCATGGTTCAAAGCCAGCCCAGGAAGGAAAGTCTGTGAGACTCTAATCTCCAATAAAACCATCAGAAAAACCAGAAGTGGTGCTGTGGCTCAAGTGGTAGAGCACTCTCCTTGAGCTGAACAGTTGAGGGACAGTGCCCAGGCCCAGAGTTCAAGCCCCACAACCAAAAAAAAAAAAAGACTCCTATCTCCAATTAACCACAAGAAAATGAATTGGAGCTGTGGCTTAAAGTGATAGACTGCCAGCCTTGAGCGAAAAAGCTCCGGGACAGCTCCCAGAACCTGAATTCAAACCCCACGACGACGACCACCACCACCAATAGACAGACAGACAGACACATATATATATATATATATATATATATATATATATATATATATACACTATAATACTATAAACTCCTCTCTTTTTTGTAGTGCTGTGGATCAAATCAGGGCCTTATACATGCTAGTTAAGTCTTCTACCACTGAGCTATACCATAATCTCTTAATTCCCACCACAACTGTATAGACTATTATCATTCCCATTTATGGATAAGGAAACTGAGGCCAAGAAAGGCAGTATTAGTTTCCTTGGCTGCTACAACAACATATCACAAACTTAATGGCCTGCAACAACATGGATTTACCATCTTGTAATTATTAAAGTCGGAAATCCTGGAATAAGAATGTGGTCAGGGCTGTGTTTCTTCTGTAAGCTGTTGGAGACAATCCATTTTCTTGCCCTTTTCACCTTCTAGAAGCTTCTCTTGTCTCCTGGTACCTTCTTCCATCTGAAGGCAGCAATGTAGGATCTTTCAATGCTTCTTCTCCTAGCTCTATCCCTGTCCCTCCTCCTCTGACTGATTCTATCTGCCTCTTAGAAGAACCCTTGGATTAAGTATTAAGATGTGGACATCTCTGGGACCACAGAAGCTAAGTGACTTACCCAAGGTCACACTGTAGGGATGTGAAGAAGGCCTTCTAGTCAGTCTGCCTCATGCCAAGCCACCCTTCTTTGATAAAATTTTTTACTGAAGGGGTGAGATGGTGAAGAAATAGTGCAGCAGGGAAACATCTTGCACTTCTCTCCTAGGCTTAGACCCCAGGCCTTTCCACTCTGTTCCCACAAACAGGTGTCCAGGAGAGCCTGAAAGAAGTTGAATGAGGGGCTGGGAAGGTGGCTCAGTGGTAGAGTGCTTGCTTTGCATGCCTGAGGCCCTGGGTTGGATTCCTCAGCACCACATAAGCAAAAAGAAAAAAGCCGGAAGTGGCACTGTGGCTCAAGTGGTAGAGCACTAGCCTGAGCTGAAGAGCTGAGGGACAGCGCCCAGGCCCAGAGTTCAGGCCCCACGACCAGACGCCAAAAAAAATTAGGAAAAAAAAGAAGTTGAATGAAAGGCTTGTCATGAGCTGAGTGAGGCCAGTTATACTTGTTTGTCCCTAGCCTCCTCTGTGAAGGAGCTAACCTTTCCCTGAATGTAATCCAAGATCCTTTCCAAACCCAGGCAGGCTGCCCTCCAAGACACTCCTGAGCCCCTTCCTTGGGAAAAATGACACATCACTTTACCTTTGAATTGCAGTTACTTCCCTCTATAGTGACCAACACTTCAAGACACATGGTATTGCTTCCCTAATGAGTTTATGTGGTGTGGAAGATGTGGCCCGGGGGAAGTGGTGTATTCAAGTGACATCTTGCTTGTCTGGCAGGTTGAGGTTTGCACACTTACTCTGTACATGTGCACACATGTGCACAAGTGTGCTTCATTCAGCCCTGCTTCTCCATTCTCTAACAGGCCAGCATGTGTGCCCACTCAGCCGCCAGGCCTACATTCTGGACGTGGCCTCAGAGATGGAAAAGGTGGATGGCGGCTACATGCTCTGGTTCCGGCGAGTGCTCTGGGATCAGCCACTCAAGTTTGAGAATGAGCTGTATGTGACCATGCACTACAACCAGGTCAGCACACCCAGCCCTCTTGCTGCTCTACACCCTGTGGCTGCTGGGAGGAAGGGGTAGACCATGAAGTCAGACACCACAAATGCCACAGCTGGGATTTTGGAGAACTAGTGTCAAAGTTTAAGCAATTCTGAGTATGGAATGAACCAGTTTGCTCTTGTGGCCACACAAGATTGCTGTTGGAGTCTAGCTCTGCACCATCTGGTAGTGTCTTACTCAAGAATCTGATGCTAACCAGCAGCTGGTGGCTCATGCCTGTAATCCTAGCTACTCAGGAGGCTGAGATCTGAGGATCATGGTTCAAAGCAAACCTGGGCAGGAAAGTCCATGAGACTCTTGATTCCAATTGACCACCAGAAAACCAGAAGTAGAGCCATGGCTCAAAGTGGTAGAATGTTGTTATCCTTGATCAGGAAAGCTTAGACACAGCACTCAGGCCTTTAGTTCAAGCCCCATGACTCCCTCCCCAAATGGCTGGGGATGTAGCTTGGTGGTACAGTATTTGCCTAACATGCATGACCCTGGGTTCGATTCTTCAGTACCACATAAACAGAAAAAGCCAGGAGTGGGGCTGTGGCTCAAGTGGCAGAGTGCTAGCCTTGAGCAAAAAGCTCAGAGACAGTGCCCAGGCCCTAGCTTCAAGCCCCAGGATGACAAAAAAAAATTCTGATGCAAATCCTTTTGTCTATTGAACACTTGGGCACACCATAGAGTTTGTGCTCTCCTTTTACAAGACTACACTTTGCCATGTAACTGTAAGAGTTTCTTCATTGCCTTGAAAGCCACAGCCTTTCCAGCTCTACCTATGATGCCAAAAAAAGCCATATCACAAAGAGATAGGGCTGGCATGGTTATAATTGTCTGTCTCCAGTCACTGCCAGTGAATACCCCAGTGAATACCTGCCTGACAGCATCTCATACATCTGCTCCCTGCAGGTCCTGCCTGACTACCTGAAAGGCCTGTTTAGCAGTGTGCCAGCCAGCCGGCCCAGCGAGCAGCAGCTACAGCAGGTGTCCAAGCTGGCTTCACTGCAGCACCGCGCCAAGGATCACTTCTACCTGCCCAGTGTGTGAGCACCTGTCTACCCATCTCAGTCTGAAGGACAGGCACCCATGCTTTTGCATCCTACTCTCCACTTTTCTCATCACTACCTATCCCAGTCCCCCTCAGACTCCCCATTGTTCCAGAGAGGCTGTCTGGAAGAGACTGTCCTGGCCTTGGGGCTGGAGTCTTCCCATTCACCATAAGGACTGGGACTCTACCTCTCTTTCATGACAGGTTGCTTCCAGCTGCTGTTTATAGCACAGAACAAATTTAAAGATATAGAAATCGTCAGGACAGGGCTGGGAAGGTGGCTCAGTGGTAGAGTGCTTGCCTAGCATGTATGAAGCCCTGGGTTTGATTCCTCAGTACCATGTACACAGAAAAAGCTGGAAATGGTACTGTGGCTCAAGTGGTAGAGTGTTAGCCTTGAGCAAAAGAAGCTCAGGGATAGAGCCTAGGCTCTGAGTTCATGTCCTAAGACCAGCAAAAAACAACTGTCAGGACACACATACCAAGTGGTCCAAGAAATACACATGGCAATGCAGATTCAGCCACAAAAATATTTACTACAGCATTGCTCATGACAGCAAAAGAAGCAACTTCAATATTCAGCAACAGGGGATTCGTTAAGTACATTTTGGGGAGTTAGGCTTTACTGATACTTTCAAAGCTATGATAGGCGCTCACAGTGTAAATCAGTTACACCTAAACCTTTAATCTTGGGACTTTTTTTTTTTTTTTGTCGGTCATGGGGCTTGAACTCTGGGCCTGGGTGCTGTCCCTCAGCTCTTCAGCTCAAGGCTAGCGCTCTACCACTTGAGCTACAGCACCACTTCCGGTTTTCAGGTGGTTTATTGGAGATAGGAGTCTCACGGTCTCTCCTGCCCGGGCTGGCTTTGAACCTTGATCCTCAGATCTCAGCTTCCTGAGTAGCTAGGATTACAGGCGTGAGCCACCAGCGCCAGGCTAATCTTGGGACCTTTTAACTCTCTTGAAAATAGGACCCCAGTGCTGAAGGGCATAGCTCAGTGGGAGACCTTGCCTAGCATAGGTGAGGCCCTGTGTTCCATCCTTAGCACTGCAACAAAAAAGGATGAAAAGAAGGAAGAAAGGAGAAAAGAAAAAAGTAAAGAGCAAATATAATAATCTCAATGTCACCACACACACATTAAAAAAAGACATGGAGCTGTGGTTCAAGTGGTAGAGCACCAGCCTTGAGCAAAAAAAGCCCAGCAAGGAAGCAAGAGTGCAAGACTATGAATTCAAGCCCCAGTACTAGCACAAAAAAAAGAATAAAAATAGGACCTCAAATGGTTTGTATTTATGTACAGTATGCATATTGATGCACTTGAATATTAAAACTAAGAAAAAATAAAATCATAAAGTTAAACTTAGTATGGTGGTACACACCTAGAACCTCAGCTACCTGAGCCCAAAGAGTTCAAGGCCAGCCTGAAATATACAGTGAGAACACACCACCTCAAAAAATAAAATAAGGTCTGGGAAGGTGGCTCAGTAATAGAGCGCTTGCCTTGCATGCCTGAGGCTCTGGGTTCGATTCCTCAGCACCACATAAGAAAAAAGTGCCAGAAGTGGCACTGTGGCTCAAGTGCTAGAGTGCTCCCCTTGAGCTGAAGAGCTGAGGGACAGCGCCCAGGCCCAGAGTTCAGGCCCCACGACCGGACCCAAAAAATAAAAAATAAAATAAAATAAAAGCCGGAACTTGGTGGCTCATGCCTATGATCCTAGCTATTCAGGAGGCTGAGATCTGAGGAACATGGTTCAAAGCCAGCACGGGCAGAAACGTCCATGAAACTCTTATCTCCAATTAACCACCAGAAAACTGGAACTGGTGCTATGGCTCAAGAGGTAGAGCACTAGCCTTGAGCTGAAGAGCTCAGGGACAGTGCCCAGTCCCAGAGTTCAAGCCCCACCACTGACCAAAAGAAGAAGAAGAAGGAGGAGGAGGAGGAGGAGGAAGAAAACTAAGATTTATTGATTCATTTAAAAATAGAAATAACAAAGCCATGCCATGTTAATACAAATAGTGTTTGAGGGGGAAAAAAACTGCATTCTATGTAAGAAGTCTGGTGCTGGGGAGCATTTTGCAAAGCCCTTTCCCACTTGACCTGACAGGGGAAAGCTAAAGCTACAGATGTACTCATGCAGTCCGTCCACTAATCCCACATATCATATCCCTCAGATCTCTGCCTCCTGAGTAGCTAGGATTACAGGTGTGAGCCATTGGAGTCTGGCTATGTAAAGCTCTTTTTATGGCATAACTGTAAACAAGAAGAACAGGAATCTCCTAAAGGTATAATTCTAATCCTGGATTTAAAATAATCATTGGGTTTTTACTTCTTTTCTTTTTTTTTCTTTTTTTGAATTCTTTCTTTTTTCTTCTTTTTTTGGGGGGTTCTTGTCTCCTGCAAGAGTTCCTGACAGGTGTAGCTATGACATCTGCTTTGTACTTTACCTGCTGTAGTGAGGATGCAGAGTTGGGTGCTCAGGCCCCTTGTTCCTCCCCATACAGGCGGGAGGTCCAAGAATATATCCCAGCGCAACTCTATCATACGACGGCTGGCGCAGCCTGGCTTAACCTGGTCAGCCAGCACCGGCAGCAGGCACAGGCGCTCAGTCCCCATCAGGCCCGTGCCCAGTTCTTGGGTGAGAGTTGGGCATGGAGAGTTTGGGGACATGGTTGGGGAGGGGTGCTCTACTTAGGGGTCTTGGAGGAAAGGGTTGGAGGCATCTTTTTCTTTTTGGTGCTGGCTGAGCTGCCTACTTACCTAACATGTTCCTGAAAAATCTCACCTGGGTTGGGGATGACTTTGGGTGGAGAGCTAGAAGCAGGAGCTGTAGGTGGGAGGTGGAGAGGCCAGAGAGGTGGGAGGGGAAGGGAGAGGGCCTCTTCTGTCTTCTTGTGTGTCTCATGGTAACACCCTTTCCTCACTGCAGGGCTCCTCAGTGCCTTTCCTATGTTCGGCTCTTCCTTCTTCTTTGTCCAGAGCTGCAGCAACATCACTGTGCCAGCCCCCTGCATTCTCGCCGTCAACCACAATGGCCTCAACTTTCTCAGCACTGAGACTCATGTGAGTGTCCTTAGCCTGGCCCCACCTACAGGTCCCTTGTCCCCTCTATCCTGTAGTCTCCCACTTCTTCCTGGGGTAGAGGCACCTGTGGAGGCCCAGACTGAACACTTAGCACATATGTGATCTCTGGCAAGTCTCTTCTCCTGCCCTGTAGGGAAGAGGAGAAGGTGGCAGGTGAGGTAAGAGCCATGCCAAGCCTGCAGACAGTGTTAGTCTGCTCAAGCTGTGGGACCAAATGCTACAGTTTGGGCAACTCACCTAAGGTAAATATATTTCCCACGGTTCAAGAGGCTAAAAGCCCAAGGTCAAGGTGGGTGCCTAGCTGGCCTCTCTTTGGCTTATAGATGGCCGCTTCTCATGGTGTCCTCCTGGTCTTTCCTCTGTGTGTGCATATTCCTATAGTCCCTTTTACTAGGGACCAACCTCCCTTTTATTAGGGACACCTGCCATACTGGATTAAGGCCCACCACAACAGTGTTATTTTAACTGAATCATCTCTCTTTCTCTCTTTTTACTTTAGTGTGTGTGTGTGTGTGTGGTGCTGGGAATCAAACTGTCTTGTGAGTGCAAGGTAAACATACTCTCTCACCCCTAGCCTCATGATCACCTCTTTAAAGTTCCTACACCTAAATATAGTCATGCTCAAGGTACTGTAATTTCACATTGGAATTTGGAGGGCCACAACACAACCCATTACAAATAGGACTTGTAAACTCCTTTCTTAGCTTTTGCTCCCAGAAGTAGAAGCTGATGCTAGGCACCAGTGTCTCACGCCTATACTCCTAGCTACTCAGGAGGCTGAGATTTAAGGATCAAAGTTCAAAACCAGCCCAGGCAGGAAAGTTTGTGAGCCTCTTATCTCCAATAAACTACTCAGAAAAAACCAGAAGTGGTACTGTGGCTCAAGTGGTAAAGTGTTACCTTTTTTTTTTTTCTTTTTTTCTTTTTGTCGGTCATGGGTCTTGAACTCTAGGCCTGGGTGCTGTCCCTGAGCTCTTCAGCTCAAGGCTAGCACTCTACCACTTGAGCAACAGTGCCACTTCTGGCCTTTTCTGTTTATGTGGTGCTGAGGAATCAAACCCAGGGCCTCATGCATGAGGGGCAAGCACTCTACCACTGAACCACCTTCCCAGCCTCTAGAGTGCTACCTTGAGCAAAAGAAATTCAGGGACAGCGCTCAGGCCCAGAGTTCAAGCCCCAAGACAGGCAGAAAAAAAGAAGCTGACATAAGGATTCCAGGGCTGGTAGCTTATTTATAGGTGACGAAGGGGACACTAAAGAAGGTGGAACAGGGAAGGGGACACAGATGAGAATTTCCAGGCACATGACTGAAGGTCAGTCCCCCTGGGACAGCTGGAGACAGCTTCTAACACACCCTTTGTATAGTTCATCTCTCCTCAGTAACCCACTACTCCCCACCAGTCAGTAGTCAAGGCTTCTTCCTGTGACACTATCTCTCCATTGCTCTTGCTTTTCCTGCAATGGAGTCTGCTTGCTCCATGAAAAGGGGGTACAGAAGTAGCATGATGTGACAGGGCACTAGCATCATCCATTATACTCCTATATCCCACGAATTCTGAGTGATGTCTGGCACACTGTAGATGCATCATCAGTATTTGTTGAATACACAGGTGAGGAAATAGGTCCAGAGAGGTTGAGTGACTTGCTTGAGAAACTGGGATTTGAACTAGGGCCTTCTGCCTTCTCCTGATCTGATTACAGGGTAGGAACTGATGTGTTGGAGATAATCCCTATCCTCCAATCTGTCTGGCCTTTCTTCTTCCACTCCCAGGAGCTGATGGTAAATTTCCCCTTGAAGGAGATACAGTCTACAAGGACCCAGAGGCCCACAGCCAACTCTAGCTACCCTTATGTAGAGATTGCGCTGGGCGATGTGGCGACCCAGCGTACTATGCAGCTGCAGCTGGAGCAGGTGGGCTCTCTGTCACTGGCCAGTCTTATTCCTTAGGCCCTAGGTTCCTCATTCCATGCACTGGGCTTTTCTCTGGGCCTGGCTGTGGTCCAGGGAGCATCCAATGCTGGGGACAGAACTGCAAGTCATCCTGGCTCCTCCAAGGGAAGCTGCTTGACAGTGAGACTGTGGGAAAGAGCCCAGGTTGCAAAACAAAGACATTTGATGGGGCTGGGGAGCAGGGGGAGGACACAATCAGGGAGGTACAGGCCTTAGAGTTGAATGTTAAGCTAAGAATGTGGAATGTGGGACTTTCTTTTTAGGTTGATTGTGAGCAGGCCAGGGTATGGGAGGTTTGAGGATGTTGACCTGGAGGGAGGCATGGGGCCTAGGATTGCAGTTAAAGCAAATGGATTTCCATGGGACAGAAGGGAAAATGATGCCAACCTGTCTTGTGCCTCCTCAACTGTGGCTGTCCTTAAAAAGGGATGGGGGGGGCTTGGCACTAGATTCCTGTCCAACTCTCACGGCTTCTGATGGACCAGTAGGAATGAAGTTTTTACCCCCCCCCCCATAGACAAGATTAAGAGTGAGAGAGGGTTAAAACCAATATGTCTGCCCTTTCCAGTCTCTACCTCCCCTGCAGGGACCTGGGCGCAGCACCCTGCCCTCTGTGACAGGACCAATTCCACCTGGAAGAGACTTCCACTGTACCATGCCTTCCCCTGGCAACAGTGACTTGGGCCCAGGCTCTCCAGTTGTTCTTCCCACTATATGTCAACCCATATCTACTATGAGTTAATCATTTCTCCTGGCAGCCTCAGGCTCCAGACCTGTCCTCCTCCCCAGAACACAACTCTCTGTTCTCTCCCTTTGATCCATACCCCTGTAACCTGCCACAATGCCCATTCTTTGGCTCTTTTCCTGATGCCTTCTGTCCTGAATGGTCTCTACATATGGCTGAGTCTATGCTCTTTCCTTGTCCCTCCTCCCCCAATCCGGTCCTTAAATTTTCAAAACCATCTCTACTGTAATAGACCCCACCTCATATATACTTTTTAGTTAACAGGGATGGCTCCTTGGGTATTTCAGATTGTGGCCTTGGGCCACCTCTCTCCATGGAGGTGTGAACTCTACCCCATACCAGCTGGGAGAGCTGGGGTTCTGGCCAGCTGGGCCAGGGCTGACCCTGGGCCTCAGCCTTTTTCAATTCCAGGTTGGGGTAGCAGTGCTACCTCTTAGGGACAACTTTAAGGGTTGAAGGCAGCTCTTGGGATGAGACCTGACACTGCAGTGATGCTGTCATCATATTGTCCCTATGGGAGTAGCTTCAGTTACCCAGGAAATCTCTGGGGGAATCCCTGAAACTGGCCTTAGTCAAAGAACCAGACTCAAAACTTGATTTCCCACAATGCCCACCCTGTTCCAAGTGGGAACCCTGAGGTGGACACCATGGCAACACACCGTTAGACCAGTTGCCTTTTATGGATTAGACTAATGGAGGGGGTACTAGGGATCAAACTCAGAGCTTTGTGTATACTGGGCCACTCCCCTTGTCTCATGGACTGTTTCTAAAATCTACAGGATCTATGCACAATAGAATCTCATTCAGTCTTTACACAGCTCTGCTAAGCAGGTAAACTCAGCCCCTACCTATGAGGCCACTGACACTCAGAAAAGTGAAGTCACTGGTCTTGACCACACAATTCACAAGCAGCAGAGGCAGTAGCAGTCCTGTGCTTACCGTGGCCTAGAGCCCAACATTCCTTCTCCCACACTGAGGATCCCTGCATGAAGGACATCTTGCACGTACCACCCCAGTGTGAATGCTAAACAAGGCTTAGATAGCCTAGATTCTCACTGTGTCTCTGGCAGGGTCTGGAGCTGTGTCGAGTGGTGGCTGTGCATGTGGAGAACCTGCTCAGTGCCCGGGAGAAGAGGCTCACGCTGCCCCCCAGTGAGATCACCCTGCTCTAAGGCTGCTGCCAGCCCTGTGGTGCTGCCCTTTCTGGACCAGTGACCTTGCTTACAAGGACCACGACCTTGAACAAAACTAAGGAGGCAGGAAGAACCACCTATCTTCTGAAAACCCAAGAGAACAGACCCAGAATTGGGAGAGAAGTGCTGATGTGTCCTGGGGGGGGGTCAGATAGCAGAAGGAACTTTCAAATGTTGGTCCAAGATGTACATAAAGCAGGACCTGGGGCTTTCTGCTATTTGCCTGCTGCAGATGCTGCCTTGACTCCTGTGAGGGGAACACCCTCCTCCAGTGGCCTAGATGCATTGGGCTCTGCCTTTGGTTAACTCAGGACTTGATACTCAGATATGCTCCAGCTCCATACCCCAGCCCCATGTCTCCTCCTCAGGTGCTCCACCTTGTGCTGCCCCTCAGCTCAGGTCTATGACCTGCTCTTCTCCTCCCCCTCCCCCCAGTCATTTCTGTGCAAATAAAAGGTGTGTCTGGCAGTCATGTCATCCACAGAACTGGAGAGTTGCTGGAAAAGAAGCCTGAGGGAGGAGGCAGAAGGTGGAATCATATCTGGGCTGACTCATTGCCTTTAGACACATCTGTCCTTATTCCTCTTTTCAAATTTCTGTCCCCCAATCCACACATCCAGGTTACCTGGATGGGCCACACAAGCTTTAAGAGTGAGGTACTTCCACTACTTGGATACATTCTATACAGCACAAGGGATGAAGATGTCTTGGGAAGGGCTTCTCAGAGAATGGTACACTGGAGTTGGGTTTTGGAGAATATATAGGAGTTTGTTAAGAATGGAGGCAAGTCCTCTCTCGTATCTGCTGTACCCCTAGGACTCTTCAAAAAGTTTCTGCCTATGCCTATGAGTTCTAGTGTTTCTCCTACTGCCTCTTGCAGTAATTTCAAAGTTTTAGATCTGACATTGATCCCCTTTGTGCAGAGTGACAAACGGGAATCTACTTTTCATTTTCTACATTGTGGATGCCCAGTTTTCCCAACACCAATTATTGAAGATGCTATGTTCCCACTTAGCAGCCAGAAAGGAAAGACATAAAAGATGACAGCAAAGATGTAAAAAAAAAAAAAAAGACAGCAAAGATATAAAGGATTCTCCTCACCACTAAGAGTTAATGAGGGAAACAAACAGCTCAAACCTTCCAAAAGAGTAAAAAAGTGTGACAGCCAAGTGCTCTTTAGGGCACAGGCATCACTCAATCAGAAGCTAATGCAGTGATTACTGGGAGAAGGCAGGGAACCCAGAAGTAAACCTCCGTGGCTTGGCTTACTTATCTGCCATTGGATGGTTCTGGAGATAGCTGAGGTGGCACTGAGTCTCACTATGTAGGTCAAGCTGGCCTCAGACTCAGTATGTAGACTGGTGTGAAACCCTCAAGCCTCCTGTGCCAGCCTCCTGAGGACCAGGATTGCAGGTATGCCACCACACCTGACACTTTCTACTATTTTAATACAGAGGAAGCCAGTTCACCATGTTATGGGCAGCTGTGGATACAGTTAATGCCACACCCCTGTCTGGGTCCAAAGAACTGAGTTTAGAGGAACCAAAGAAGATGACCAATGATGGAAGCCAGGCACCGGTGGCTCATGCCTGTAATCCTATCTACTTAGGAGGCTAGGTTCTGAGGATCATAGTTCAAAGCCAGCCTGGGAAGGAAACTATGAGACTCTTATCTCCAATTAAATCACCAGAAAACCAGAAGTGGCACTGTGATGGCTCAAGTGGTAGAGTGCTCACTTTGAGCTGAAGAGCTCAGGAACAGCACCCAGGCCCAGAGTTCAAGACCCATGACTGAAAGAAGAAGCTAGAACAAAAAAAACTGGATAATGCTTCTGTAGAAGTGAACGAAGAAGGAAAAAATATCAACTCACACATCCCTCAGTATATTTCTTCAGTACCTGTGATACATCAATCCATCAAAAAGACCCACCTGCAACTAGAGGAACAAAAGCAGCTCAGTTTGGGGCTGGGAAGGTGGCTCAGTGGTAGAGCGCTTGCCTTGCATGCCTGAGGCCCTGGGTTCGATTCCTCAGCACCACATAAGCAAAAAG